TATATATATATATATATATATATATATATATATACACATCGAAATGTAAAAACTCTAGGACACTTGTGTGAAACTTTTTGAACAAATATTTGGAAATTCGGACAAAAAGTTACACCTTTTGTGAGTTTTATTGCGGTTGTAACTTTAAACTAAATTTAATTGGGAGCTCAAGTAAAAATTATTTTATTCCATTCAAGCCTAAACTTCGGCTAGGATTGATTGGGCTAGAACAACAATAATCTAGAATTTTTTAAAGAAGTTGATTCGAGCACTTGTGAAACGTTTTATTTGAGTAATATGTGACTTGCTTCATGCTGCCTTTCTCAGAAATAACATTTTCATTCGCGTGCAATCCAGACGAGCACACCTGTCTTATAAATAATTTATTCTGCAGGAGACAGGAAATAACTAGGAAAGTCGCTTAGCATGTGAACTGTGAATAGACAAATGGTGCTGACCTAGAGTGGTGGACTGGTAGTTGCATTTCATTTCATTTTCTCCACCAAACTAGTTTTTCAAGAGATGAAGAAAAGGAAACTTTGTTTTTTCTGAGAAATTAAATTTCAAATTTTTAATATTTCTGTCCAATGGGCACCAAACCCATATGGAATAAATATGACATGAAAATACTCCGTGTGTGACTTTTCCATTCCTCACCTAACCATCTACCATCTGAAAGTTTTCTATATAAGAACAAGCTTTTGAGGTTCATCATTTTCATACATTAAACTCCAATGTCTATCGTGCTTGAGCAATGTCAAATTCAGCCTTCACCAGACAACGTGAGTGAGCTAACACTTCCTTTAGTACATTTCGATTTAACATGGTTGTATTTTCATCCTGTTCATCGGCTACTCTTCTTCGAATTCCCTTGTTCAAAGCCAGATTTCGTCGAGACCCTTGTTCCAAAACTCAAACAATCTCTTCTCCAAACTCTTAAGCATTTTCTTCCACTCTCTGGCAACATAATCTATCCATTAGACTCCGGTAGGCCTATTTCGCACTATGTCGTGGGGGATTCTGTGTCGCTAACAATTGCGCAGTGCGATAAAGATTTCAATCACCTTATGGCCATGGTTCCTCGGGTTGCTGACGAGTACTATTCATGTGTCCCTCAGATGCCACCAGCGACTCATTCATCGGACTCCGTAATTTTTCCAGTTCTTGCCTTACAAGCAACGATCTTTCCTGGCCATGGTGTTTGTCTTGGTTTTACTAACCATCATGCCATTGGCGATGCTAGTACAATTGTTCGTTTTGTGAAAGCATGGGCTACAGTCACAAGATTGGGCGGTGATTCACAACTTATAGATGATAAATCTTTACCATTTTATGATAGGAGTTCAGTTGAAGATCCGAAGGGACTCGATTCCATATACTGGGAATTGATGAAGAAATCTAGGCCTATGGATGCTCCACCTCTTAAATTTCCCCTCAATAAGGTTCGTGCAACATTTGTACTGACCAAAGATGATGTTCAAAAATTGAAGATTTTTGTTTTGAGTAAACGACCAAAGATGACACATGTATCGTCTTTCACTGTAATATGTGCACATGTATGGGCTTGTTTAGCGAAAGCAGAGGCTGCGATCGGGGTCGATTTGGCCGACGATGAGCCGGAGTATTTTGGTTTTCCAGCTGATTGTCGAGCAAGAATGGATCCACCGTTGCCTTCTACTTATTTTGGCAATTGTTTAGCATTCGTCAAGGCAGAAACAACGCACGGAAAATTGAAGGGAAATGAAGGATTTGTAATTGCTGCTGAGTCGATTGGAGATGCTATTCAGAGAACGGTGTACAACGAGAAGGGTATCTTGGACGGTGCAGATAAATGGCCTTTGGAATTTAGAGAATTGAGCGGAAAACGGCTTTTTGGAGTGGCTGGATCGCCTAGATTTGATCTGTACGATGCAGATTATGGCTGGGGAAAGCCCAAAAAATACGAAGCTGCTAACATAGATGGTGATTCATCCATGTCCCTTTGTAAGTCGAGGGATTTCGAAGGAGGTTTCGAGATTGGCTTATCCAGGCCTAGAAATATGCTGGATGCCTTTGCACCTTTCTTCACTATCTCACTTCGAAATCTTTAAACTTTCTAGCGCAAAGAAACCCTTCTTCGGAGTAGGAGTCGGGCTCCATCTGGTTTGGGTCAGGTTGGACCAGTCGAGTGGGTGACAATTCCTGATCAGATATACTTCACCATTTCCATTGCAATGGTAGTAAAAAATTGTGCTCTAGGATTTACCAACGAAAATGATATATAAATATGGTACTTAAAAATAAGTATGATTCTGTGTACATACAACTTTGCTTGGTGAAGATCTACTCGGGGTACACATCTATCACTGTATTGCAATGTATTTCTTTGATTGTCCAGTTCCTTTTTACACGATCTATTGCTTTGCTTCCTATATTCGTTTGAGATGCTTTTATCCGTTGGTAAATTACTTCAATTATGCACTAAGCCCCCGTTTGAGCCCCATTAAATTAAATTTCATTACATTAATTTTTTTTCTCTCTTCATTTCAATCACACATTCATCAAATAAATCATATGTGACATAAAAATCTAAAACTTTTCAACCACACATTCTCTTATCAATCACCATTCTAAAAATTTTCAAACCCCAAAAATGAGGGCCAAACAGGGGCTAAAATATACTTATGATTGATAAAAAAAAAAGATGTATTTCAATATCCCCTTTCTCTGAATCGTGGATTTACCTATTTTTGTTCAACATAAAGATTCTTGTAAAAGGCGAAAAAACAGAATTGAATTAAGCGAGAAAATTTTGAGTGTTCTGCTGTAAATAGGAGAATTTAAGTATTTCCGTGTCCTTCTTGATTTGGAAGTTTTGTAACCCGGAACCTAGGAGGCAATAAATTTGAAGGAAATATTTAATTCTGGAAGAGAGGATTTTTTTTTTTTTTTGTTTTCTATATAAAGTTACGGATTACCTTCATTAATTAGGATATATTAGTAGTATTTGTCCGTGACTTATTAGGTTATGGAAAAATAAATCAATGTGATATAATTAAAAAAAAAAAGAAATTAAAATTTAGATTTTTATTAAAGTCAAAGTCAAGAATTAATTTTAACCATGAAAATTATAACTTTTCAATCACATATTTCATCAACTTTTATCAAAATACACTAAAATTTTGATTTTAATTTTCACCAAACACGGGCTTTACCTTTCGAAGTTAACCTTTCTCATGATCAATTGGATGGTGTACATGTGTCAACTGATCATGGTTATATGGAAATCGAAAAGATAGGCTGGGAACTTAAATGCAAAAAAGAAAATTAAAAGGGCACCGGTTTGTTATTAAGTATATAGGTTGGGTGGCCCTTCATTTTTTTTTTTTTATCTTCCATTGCTTTACCGCTGTTAGTGGGGTAGAAAATAAAACTTTCCTTGTAAAATGTAAAAACTGCTGCCTTGTGATCATAGTTGTCAGACTTGATCCAGACATAGACTCGAACAAATCACGAAATAACCATTAAAATCACCGAAAAATATACATAATTTTGTCAATGAATTTAGATGAAATACACAATGATCATGTGGAATTTAATTATCCGCATGATCATGCTATAGAAGTAAACTCAACACATGGTCTGTTCAATATATTTCAAGCATACTAGTGTCACTTTAACTATTTATGTGCAAATTTGAATAGTGAATTGGTCAACACAACAATGTTCTAGTACAAGATACCAACCCTTATACATTAATTGTGAACAAATTATATATGATCAACATATAAATTATGTCACACTATAATTCTCAATCCAAGTATCAAACTTATATTATCACAAGTGATCATAGGCACTTCAATTCACATGATCAATAATAAGTAAATACAATAAATGAAACAAAAGCAGCCCCCAGGGCATATCTCCCATACAAAATTGGTTGACAAAATAACATTTATATCAATCATTTTAAAAACAGATTTTTAAATCATTTGAAATCAACTATCTAAATTTTACCAACACACTTTGTAACCCAACTTTTATAACCCAACTTTGTACAAATAACTTTATTGATAATAAATTCATTTATTCAATACATAAAAAGGACAAGCATCACCATCTTTTTGAGTAAAATATTTAGGCTGACCCAGTCACTCGCTCCAAATTTTTTTGGGTCACGAAAACTTTATTGATAATAAATTCATTTATTCAATACATAAAAAGGACAAGCATCACCATCTTTTTGAGTAAAATATTTAGTCTGACCCAGTCACTTGCTCCAAATGTTTTTGGGTCACGAAATAGTTAAAGTGGTCACAGATTTTGAATAGGATGACCTCTACAAGCACAAATTTTCTTTTATGTTCCTTATTTTTTTTCCAATTTAGATCGAGTCGGAAAATTAAGAGCTTCTTTTTCGACCCTCACTAAATGTCTCGAATTTAGGGATAATTGTATCAGCGGTCCCCAACCTTTCAACTTTTTACAGACTTTACCCTAACATTTACTTTATCCTAGCCACAGTCCCAAACATTTCAAAAATTCACACATGGAGTCCAAATAGATGGAAACCATCCACCTTGCCATTAGTTGACCAAAAAAATCAGAACTTGATCAATTTTGATCAAATTAAAAAGGGCAAAATGGTACTTTACATTTTCTCACATTAAATTTTAAAATTGTATATATAAACATTCCTTATTTTTCATTCCAACCACCCCACATGACCTAATCAAAACTAGAAAACCGCCTAGCCACCACAACTCCTAAACGTCTTCCTTTTCCAATTTCTTCACCGCCATTCGACTGAGGTAGCAATTTTTGACTGCTTTCCTTTCCAATTTCTTCACTATCGTCCGATCAAGGAAGCAATTTTGACTGCTTCCCATCAATTTCTTCACTACTCCTCTTGATCTTGCTTCGGATCTAGATGGTGGTTCCATTTACCACTTTAATAACACAAATCAAATCCGGTTTACAATTGCACCGACTACACTGGCATCACCAACTCTACCTACCACCACAACTATTTCTTCTACCCATTTACCACATTAACAAAACAAATAAGAACCCCCAAAATTACTTTAAAATAGAGGAAACTGTCATCGTGGTTCCTTTCGAGGAGGGAGCGAAGGGGATCTCGAGAGTGGGATCGATGTCATTTAGGAAGAGGAAGCTTTGGTTGGCACATTGAATTTTGAGGCCATAGTAGCCGGCGAAAGGTATTGCCGAGGGTTGCCATCGCGCTTCCAGATTTTATATGTGTCATATTGGGTGATTACCAACTAATGTCACAATGGAGAGCAACAACTAGACAGGTAAGGAGCAGTGATTTTAGGTTCGATTTTGGAGAGAGCAGCAACAATAGAGGCGGACAACAAGATGAATTTGGGTTCGAATTTGATTTTCAGTTTGGGTTCCATTTGACAGTGGAAAATGTAGTGGTTGTGGGTTTGGTGGTGGCGACAGCGGCGTTGACGATGGGTAACCGTGATTTTGATTTTGGGTTAGAGGTGAGGTTTGGACGGGAATGTGGAAGAAGATAACTGTGGGAGATGATAATTTTTTTCAATTTTTTATTTAATTATTTAATGTGGAAAAATGTAAACCACTATTTTGCCATTTTTAATTTGGTCAAAAATTGATAAAATTTTGACTTTTTTGGTCGGTAAGATAAGATGGATGGTTTCTATCCATTTGGACCCAGATGCAATTTCTTGAAAAGTTTGGAGGCACAAAGTGAAGGTTTTGATAAAATCTGCAAAAAGTTGAAGTGTTAGGAACTGTTGCTGCAATTATCCCTTGAATTTATTTCATTCTTATTCCATACTTCTTGAAAAATTCTTTCTTTTACGGGAAAAAGTATGGGGTTGGGTGGGGAACAATCAAATAAGAGACTTTTAAAATGATATTTGAACATGATGCTACCAAAAATCGCACCTGTTGAATTTCGAGCTTGACAACTGAGACCGAGCATGAACAAGATCTTCCGGTACCTGAAACAAAGGCGTCGAGGTATGTCACCGTCGCCCCTCTGATGCTTAAATCAGACAGAGAATTTTTAAAGAAAATATATACGAAATGTAAGTGTAAAAACATACTTGATGATGAAAAAGATGTATTTATAGAGGTGGGTAGCATAGTTCAGTAGGACTCATCTCCTTATTTTTAGGAGTGATTATAGGGATAAGAGTTGGAATGTAGAGAGGAGTCCAAACCTTCCTTATCTGAAGTGTTTCCTAAGGTAGGACTTATTTACGACTTGGGATTCCTAAGCAGGGGTGATGGGGTAGAGCTAGGATCATTTCTGCACAAGGACTACTATATCTTGATTGAGGACTACTTCGAGGATTTGACCAACTAAATATCCCGATCGTTATTGTCTCGAGGAGTGCTAACGTAATTTCAACGGTAACATGGGTGGTCCATCCTCGAGATGTCTCGAGGAAGTTATATACCCTGAGGAGTAAAGCACCATAATTAAGAAATAGGATCCTTTGAAGTCCTCGTGCTCGGGGTAGGACATTTATGACCACATCATTGGCCCCCGTGCATCCATGCTCGAGTTTCGAGGATGGAGGCAGTGTCCCCAGTATGCTTGATGCCGCGTTGTACCCCCATAATTCTTTGCATGTTCGAGGGCTTGCATCACGATGATGCTAGCCCTGAGTGAAATAAGGACAGTAAGAATTCCACCACTAGATCGAGGACACGTGTTATGATTTGAGGGTTGGGGAGGCGACTCTTGGCTTCCCCCCTTTTGAGGGCTATAAATACTCCCTTTCGCTTTCATTTTTCACTCTCAGTAACTTCTTTTCGCCCTCCTCGAGATCCCTTAAGTCTTTTATTTAGGGTCGTTTCAGCTTAGGATGTCGAGTAGTGATAGTTCATCCTCGTCCTCGAGAACATCTCCTAAGGACCGGGAGGGTCGATCATTCTTGTGGGTGTCCCTATACGCATTCAGCCTCGAGCTCATGCCAACTAGATCCCCTTCACTTACCCCGACCAACCATGTAAATTTAAAGAACACCTAGCAGTGGCGAGTGCTCGGGAATAAGGGGTTATGTCGGGCTGTGACGTTAGGTGCCTTGAGGATAGGGATAGGATGGTT